AACAGCAGAGTACACATTTTTCTCCAGTGTATGTGCATAATTCTCTGGTGTAGACAATATGCTAATCACAAAACAAGTCTTAACAAATTTGAAATGACTGAATTCATATAAGGTAAATTCTCTAGCAACAAAGGAATGATTTTAAAGTTCAGTAACAAAAGGAAAAACTCTAGAAGAACAAATAAATCTTGGAAATCTTAGAAAATACAATTAATTAAAATGTTCCTTATGGGGAGGAGGTTGAGACTTTGACTCACTTTCTTTGGACACATCATCAGGAAATACCAGTCTAAAATAAGATATCATGTGTGGTTAAGGATGAAAATTAAGGAAACCCTCATTTAGATGGCTTGACACAAGAGTTGAGACAATGGACTCAAACATACCAACAATCACCAAGATGGCACAGGAGTAGGCGACAATTTATTTTGCAACGTGAGTTGGAGTTGACTTGTTGGCAACTAACAACAACAATTTTATCACACACTTATGCAAAAGACATTGTGTCAAAATTCTCATGAGATTAGATATTATCGATACCAGAAGACAGTTGAAGACTATCTTTAAAATGCTTAGAGGATAAAACATAACCATTCACATGGGGAAAAAATGCAAACACACAAAAACTTACATTAACCAGTCTTTCAAGACTAGGGATAATTAGAGCTGTTTCTCCTCCTTTAATATCAGGATCTTTCTGCATTTCTTTAATAGCTTGTAGTATCTCCTTCATACCTGCTTCAAGTTGTTTATTTTCTTCAACTAATTCTCTTACTGCAATTACATATTTTATCATTTAATGAATAGATACGTATCATAATTTACATTTCTCTATACAGATAAAGTTGGAACCGACTCCACGGCACGTAACAACAACAATATACAGATAAAAAGGAACTCTGGTAGCGTAGTGGTTACGAATCAGGCTGCAAACCAGAAAGTCAGCAGTTTGAAACTACCAGCTGTTTCGTGTAGGAAGATGAGGCTTTCTGCTCCCGTAAAGATTTACAGCCTCAGACACCCTGTACAGGGTCGCTATGAATTGGAACTGACTCCACAGCACATAACCATCACCATACAAATTTATAAAATCTTTCACATAGAGGAAAAAATACTCATTTGGAAAATGTATAAAATATTTTTTAAAAAATCAAAATATCAACACATTCTGTAAACAGTTGAATCAAATGGAACACTTATCTATGTCACTGCATCCACAAACTATCTCATAGCTGAAAGAAAAAAAATCATATGCATAGTTTTTCCTTAAACTATAATTTATATAAAAAATACTTCATTCTCACAAAAAATTCAGATGCAAACACTCCCTGATGATGAAAATAAGCCAACAGGCTGAGTCCTATACACGATTATGGCAAATAAGAGTAAACCGATCAGAAAACATATTATTAAAATTCTTTCAGACTCATGATTCTAAGTATAGGAAAAAAAATTTTTTTAGCACACATATTAATATAAGTAATAACAACTTACATTTATTCTGAAATTTGGCTATTACAGTTTTACTTCTTTCTAAATCTTTTTCCTTTTCAATGAGTTCTCTTGAAAGAAATTCATTCTAAACAAAAATAAAAGTACAAATGATTTTTTCTAAAATAACACAGTAGTATACAGTTTTCAAGTTAAGAAAAGTTTGATCAATTAAGGTATAATTACAGAAGTATATGCTAGAGAAATGTCAGCAGTCATAAAAATACAATCTGAAGAGTAAAAGAGAAGGTGAGGTTCCTCTGACACTCTCCCTCTCCACCCAGTACAACAGGCACAGATGCAATGATGGATTTTGTTTGTTTTAGCACCATAATCATCTTTTTTTAATGGTCTGCCATTACACTACCTGTTCTGCCTGGCTTCTATGTCGTTCAAGTTCTATTTCTGCACTTCTATTCTGTGCTTCTTTGATCAACAAATCCTGTACTATGACTTCATTCTAAAGAAATATTTAATAAGTTAGGCAAGTTAATAACTTCATACCAAGTGTGTTGCATTCACAGACTTTTAAAAATAGAATGTATATAAGTTAGTGTTAATGTATAAATAAAAATCTTTTTATCATTGTTAAAGAAATCTGTTAGGGAATTTATAAAATGCAGTAAAAAGGCAATCATAGGAATGTGATCTGGAGGAAATCTCACCTGAGACCTAAGACATTCTAATTCTCTCCGTAGCTGTTCTATAAGATTGTCAAGTGGATCTATCTGACGTAATTTTGATCGTGCAGTAATAGGTACAGGGTCCAGAAGATTGACTTCAAGCTTACTTTCTAAACTCTCTGTCTGTAAAGATACTCCTTTGTTTCTTACATCACCTTTCAAATTGATATCATCATATTTTATTTGGGTATGAACCGCCTCGTCTTCTAATGCTGCTATTTGTGATTTATCCATGTCAATGCTATCATCATGAAGTTGTTGACAAAATATAGCAGATTTTTGCCTAAGTGATAAGTTCTGCATTAAATTTGAAGCTGTTGATAAAGCTTGAAAAGAAGAATCACTTTTCTGTACGAAATTAGTCTTTTCTTGTACCTGTTGACTTCTTGACACTTTCTTCAGACAGTCATCAGAAAGAGAGCATAAATAGTCATTTATCTCTTCATGGCTACCCTGACTAAGGCTACTGACTAATGATTCTAAGTTCCTTAAAGATTGAAGACATGGTGCTTTAAAAATCTCCCTTATGGTAATCGGTTCAGAAGTTGAATTAGCATCTTTTACTTGCATGGCTGAAGAACGTCTAATTAAAGAGAAAAAAGGATCCATTCCGCTATCTACACTGTGATGAATTTCAGGTAACTTTCTTGATAATAATCCTCTGGCCATACTCTCTTTGGGTTCATTCTGATCTGACTGTGGAGTACTGAATGATGGTCTCCTAGGCAGCAGTTCTATTTTATCTGAACTCCTCATCTGTATTCAGAGTAAATAATGTAGCATTAATCTTTAGGTTAAGAGATTATTTAAGCAAGCAAACTTTTAAAATCTATTTAAGAGCTATAAATAAAATACAGATATTTAAAATGAGATAAATGGGAGAAAATAAAAGCACTAATAACATTTTTATTATTTTTATCATATCTGTTTACCTTTGATTGAGCATCACTAACATTTTTGAGGCTTATAAAGTCAAATTTTCTTTCTTCTATTCTGTTCTCCTGATAAAAGTTTTCAGTTAGGTTCAGGTCCTCTACTGTTAATCCTAAATGTAAGAGAATCAACCAATTAAAAAAATATATAAAAATAACTCTCCCACAATTCTAATAATTTAATTCTTTAAAATTAAAATAATGTTTCCACAAAGACAAAAGGTAGAACTGTTACAAAACCCTTGCTCCACAGGGTAGCCACTTATTATAACTCTCTAATCTACCCCATCTTCGATGTTATTGTTCATTGCTAAATGCTGTCGAGTCGGTTCAGACTCATAGCAACCCTGTATAGAGTATCCAAGGAGCAGCTGGTGAGAATGAATCATAGACCTTGTGGTTCAAACTGACCTTGCAATCCAGTGCCTTATCCCACAGTGTCATACCATGTTTAATAAGCTATTAATAACATGAGAAATTAATTTGAATTTTACTTTTCCATCATCCTTTACTGATTCTATGTAAAAAGTACTAATAATACCTAGTAGATGGTTAAATGGTGTGTACAAGAAAGAAGACAAGTATTATGAGTAATGAGTTGTTGTTGTGAAGTGCTGTTGAGTCGGTTTCGACCCATCGCGACCTTGTATACAGTTTCCAAGTAGCAACTGGTGAGCTTGAACCACCAACCTTGCAGTTCAAACAGCTTTGCAGTCTGGCGCATTAACCCACAGCACCATACCACGCTGGTTAATATACTAATACCTTATGAAGAGTCACCCTTCTAGAAGTTTTTCAATGTACTATATAATGTGGCACTGTGGGATAATGCACACGACTGCAAGGTCAGTTTGAACCACAAAGTTGGCAGTTTAAATCACCAGCCACTCCTTGGAAACCTTACACAGGGAAACTATGAGTCAGAGCCAACTCAACAGCACTTAGTAACAGCATATAGATTATAAGGCTGAAACAAAAATTTTCTGCTATTCTCAGAAAAAGATGTGCTACGTACTCAGATCATGTTAATAAAACATTCCTCCATTATGGCCCTCTTACAAAAAGCACTACAATGGGTATTATACAATTTAACCAACTGTTATCTTTACATTAAATAAGATAACCAAAAATATGATATATTAATTTTCACTCAATAAAACATTACTTTCACTTAGTGAAGTCCAATTTACAAAAAGTATTTTCAATTAATAGTTCTTTGCTGTTATTGTTAAGAGTGTTGAGTTAGCTCCGACTCATAGGGCTTCTGAGGAGCAGCTGGTGAGTTTGAACTGCTGACCTTATGGTTAGCAGCAGTTCAGTGCTTATCCTACAGTCCCACACTATGACTTCTAAGGGAAAGGGAAAACATGAAAAAGTCTAGCATAAATTATCTATGGTGTCCAGGTGTGGCACTGTAGGATAAGCACTATGTTGGTTTGAATAGAAAGATTTACGGTTTAAACTCAGTAGCCGTTCCTTGGAAAACCCTATACAGGTTTGCTATGAGTCAGAACTGACTTCACAGCACTAAACAACAACACATATATAATACTACATTTTATCATTATTAATCAAAATTAAACATACCTATAGTTGCAGCTCTTTTTCCCCTTTCTTGAGCCATTTGACGAATTTTTTTTTTGAGATCAAGTCGTTCTTCCTCTAGACTTTCAATCTGCAAAGCATGAACTATTAGTATTCCTCTCTAGTTTAATAAACAAAATAGTCTTTTTATCACAGCACTTGCCTCTTTCAAAAGAATCTGGTTTTCAGCTCTGTACTGTTGCTGTTTTAAGTTTTTGCTATTTCTAAACTCAGTTAAATCAATCATTGTCTTCGGTTCAAGGCCTAAAATTGAAAAGTAATACAATTTAAATCTTTATCAGCATTCAAATGCACTAAAAAAAGAATCTTTATATACCATGTTACAATTAGCCAGCATTATTTAAAAATGCAGTACTTTTCCCCAGTAATTTCCCAGATATTTGAACTGAACCTACAAAATTAAAATTTTATCATAATTACTCACGGGAATTCTGACAAAATGAATCAGGATCTGTATCTCTACATCAGGCTATAATAGAGATACTATGCTGTATTAAGAATGGAAGCTTGGAAGTAAAATAATCCTGGGTTTAAACTCTTCAATCATTAACTAAGTAATAGGGATAATACAGTATTCAGGTGGGGTTTTTTTTGTTTTGTTTTTTTACAGACTATTGTAGGGTTAAGGAGCTCTGGTAGCATAGTGGTTACGAATCAGGCTGCAAACCTCACAGACAGCAGTTTTCTGCTCCCGTAAAGATTTACAGCCTCGGAAACCCTGTACAGGGTCGCTATGAGTCGGAACCGACTCCACAGCACATAACAACAACACCAATTGTAGGGTTATAATAAAATTAATCTAAACAAAGTAATTAACATAGTGTCTGGCACATATTAACCATTATTGATATTAACTATCAATTGCATTATCATTATTAGTCAGATACCCCCGAGTATACCTGTCTCCTAATTTGTTGTTATTAGGTGTGGCACTGTGGACTAATGCACTGGACTGCAAAGTTGCTTTGAACTGTAAGGTCAGCGGTTCAAGCTCATCAGCTGTTCCTCAGAAACCCTATACAGGGTTGTTATGGGTTGGAACGGACTTGATGGAACTTAACAACAACAACAACAACAATGCTCTGACTATCAGATATGAAGATTATCTAAAGTGATTATGAATGATGCTTGTGATATTTATTTAATTGATTCAGAAGTTATTTTTACAAAATTCCATCTTCCTGGCTATGATCTGGTAGTCTAACTTGATCAGAAAGAAGTCTAACTGGAGGTCATGGCTTAACTCTGAGTACCAGTGAGATATTTTTAATTAAAAAAAAAAAATCACATAATATTTTTTCCTTCCTCTATATTTTTATATTTTAACTCTAAGAAAGCATTAAATGATGCTAACCAGGTATAATGAAATCAATATTTAGATATTTATTTTCATTTTTAAGAAGCAAGTTAGACTGAAACATTCACATTTACAAATTACTTCTTAGTATCAATGGTAACCTTAAAATACTCAACCAAAACAAAATTTAAGCAGTTAAAATTGTAAAAGCCAAGGATTAAAGAGTCTGAAAAAGTCTTCACCAATATTTAAGTTTATACCTAATTTCATTTAAAACGAGAGCTCTGCAAACTAACATAAATCAGAGAGCTATCGCAGTCAAGATTAACTTGTAATATATGGTACTGAAATGATAGACTTTCATTTTTTAAATAATGAATTATTACTATTTCTAGAACAGCGCATTGTTAACTGACTTTGAAGATCCTAACAGATTCCACCGATGACTCCAAAGGCTACATAAATAAAGCAATGCTCAAGGCCTTCCCTGATATTATCCCAACCCTAGCCCTCAATCCCACTTTAGTTAGAGTAGCTTCACATTTACTTGTTTTCACTTAAGGATTTATTTGAAAAACAGTACTCAACTATTTTTTAGTAACAATACTAATTTTAAAATACTTAATAATTAGATTAAGTTAACTGCATATCTTAAAAGCTGGCTTACCTGCACGTTCTCTAAGTGCCTCATTTTCATCAAGAAAATCATTGATCTTCATCTCCAGTTTATTGATTTCCTTTGTCAATACTTCAATCTCTCGATCTCTTATTTTAATTTGATTTTTACAATTCTTTATTTCAACAACAGCATCTTCTAAACCATATACTCCCTGCAAAATGTCCAATCTACTTTAAACATAATATGATTGATTTAAATACATTTATCAAATTCTGGAATTTATTCTCCTATTAAGTCTGCAAAGAAATGCAATATACCTAAGGTTTATGTCAGTAAATCGTGAGTTGTACTGTGTTCTTATAAAACAAGTCTGGTAATAGTATAGAAAATAGAAGAAATGAAAATTTCCTAGTACACAGTCTTAACGGCAAAGTGATTAGAAGTATTATGTATAAAACACTTAAAAAAGCATAGAAAAGTTCAGTTAAGAGCAAACCAACTATATCAGAAGAATGTGTAAGTTATTAGTTACCTGATTTGGTTGGAAACACACACAAAATATTCAAAAGGTGCAAGCTAAAGCTATGTGGACACAGTTTGTTACAAAATTATTCCTAATTTTTATCAAATGAATCAGTGCTGTCACGTCTACATGGTGGGAAAACGGCACAAATTGTAAAGCATCCGATCCTGCTGTTTCATCAAAGCTGATCCCGGGGTGGGAAAATACTTTAACCAAAATGATTTTTTAAATAATACTTGTGCCAAAAAGTAAATGCCACTTAAGGATATGAATAGTGTAAATTGTCCTGTTAGCAAAAGATACTTATGGAATGTTTTAAAACGATAAACATTGAATAGGCTAATTGTGAGTGACATGAATGATTGAAAAGATAAAAATACATACTGATTCATAATCTTTTAATCGCTTCAGAATCTCAACAAGTTCTTTATCCTTTTCCCTGGCATCGGCCTCTGCCAATTCAGCTGTTCTCTCAGCCTCTTTAGCCTTCTCTTCTAAACTTTGAAGTTTTGATTGAATTTTCATATAATGAGTCTGTTGTGAAATGGTTGAAGCACCTACAGGGTAAAATCCAAAGTCATGACTAAATTACATTGTCTACTCACAGTCCTGGAAATCAGTGGTTCTAACAAGAGAAGATAAGGAGTTCTGGTAGGGCAGTGGTTATAAGTCGGGCTGCTAACCACAAGGTCAGCAGTTCAAAACTACCAGCTGTTCCACAAGAGAAAAAGGAAGCATCTGCTCCTGTAAAGATTTACAGTCTCAGAAACTCTGAGGGTCGCCATGAGTTGGAACTGACTCCATGGCATACCACGATCACCACCACCACCACAAAGGGATGGTGCTGCAGGACAATGCACTGGACTGCAAGGCCGGTTTGAAATGCAAAGTCGGTAGTTCAAACTCACCAGCGACTCCTTGGAAACCCAATACAGGTTTGCTAAGGGTCAGAACCAACTCAATGGCACTTAACAACAAAAAGAGAAGGTAGGAGAAGAGATGTTATACTGTTAAAGTTCCTTTTACATTATGATTTTGCATTTAAAATACAAGTTCATTTTGGTTTCACTAAGACAAGTTGTAGAGTTCAAGAAATTCTTGACTGAAGGGTTATAGTTGAAAAACACTATGTTACAAAGAATGAGGACTGTACAGAGACTACTCTTGCTATTAGGTGCCATCCAAGTTACAGACACTGTCAACCAATCTTGTTGCAGGGGTCTTTTTTTCACTGGTTCTCTACTTTACCAGGAGTGGTGCTGGGGTGGTGCTGTGGGATAAAACACTGGATGTTAAGGTCAGTTTAAACCCCAAAGTTGGCGGTTCAAACTCACCAGCTGCTCCTTGGAAACCCTATACCGGTCCAGATAGTTTTTCCTTCTATTATACATAGGGTCACTATGAGTCAAAAGTGACATGGTGGGACCTAACAACATCACTATAAAATATATTACACAGATCATTCACACATTCACCTACAATAAACATACACTGATAAATAATGTACATCTCTATACAAGTTTTTCTGCTTTGAAAGTTTTTACTTCTTTCTACTAATTAGAACCACTGGCCTTTAGATATGATATCGGCATGGTTCACTCCCTCACCTTCTTTAAGTTTCTGTTCAAATACCTCTTTAATAAGGCTTTTGCCTCAGTATCTAAGTTGCAACCCTACTCGCACCCCTACCCCTACCACCACCATCATTACACTTACACAGACACAACATGCACTCATTTGTTATTTCTCCTTTACAGCTTATTTTTATCCTCAGTAATTATAATCCTCAGTAATTATAAGATATTCATGAATTTATTACTTATCTGCAATGTTGTTACATTTGCTAGTTCTAAGAAATAAAACAAATTATATCAATTTACATTTCTTAGAGGGTCATGTTATTTTCAACAGAGAAGAAAATGATAGAAAACATCGTCATTTATAAATTTAAACAGTCATAATGTCTAGGTGTCCCGTAAAGATTTACAACCTCGGAAACCCTGTACAGGGTTGCTATGAGTCAGAACCGACTCCATGACACAAAACCACCACCACCAATGTCTAGGTGTGGCACTATGGGTTAATGAGCCAGACTGCAAAGCCATTTGAACTACAAGGTTGGTGGTTCCAGCCCACCAGCTGCTCCTTGGAAACCCTATACAGGGTCGCTATGGGTTGGAACCAATTTGACGGCACTTCACAACAACAACAACAACGTCTATAAAGGCGCTCTGGTGGCACAATAGTTAAGAGCATAGTTGCTAATTGAAAGATCGGAGATTTGTATCTACCTAATGGCTCCAAAGGAAAAAGGCCTGGTGATCTGCTAGTAAAGGTTGGTTTTTGTTGTTAGGTGCTTATCAAGTTGATTTTTTGGGTTATAGGACATCCTGTGACAGATTAGAATTACCTGTAATCTTTATGGGAGTTGATCACTAGTTCTTTTACCTGCAAGACAGGTTCGAACTGCTGATCTTTCGGTTAGAGGCTGAGCACTTAACTGTTGTGATGCCAGGGCTCTTTCTGTAAAGATTATAGCCAGGAAAACTCTACGGCGCAGTTCTACACTGTCACATGGGGTCACTAAGTCTACTAAAAACACCAACAGCAATAGCTATAAAGTAATTAATATTTCCTACATAATTTTTTAAAGTATAATAAAATACAAATAGAGAAGGCATAATACTGTATCTTTCTTTTGACAAGATACTATTTTTAATCAAGTATGTCTAAAACATGGCATATAAAATAATTTCATATACTTATAAAATATTAAATTACCTTTGTTTCTTTGGAGTTCAGTTTTCAAATCTTCAATAATAAAAGTATTTTTTTCCATTTCTTTTGTATATTGTTCTGCTTGTTCAATGAGCATTTTAATTTGACTATCTCGTTCCTGTATACCCTAAGAGATTTTGAACAGTCACATATTAGCACTTCATGGGCACACATACATTTTTAAGTGTAAGGAAAAAAGGTTAAGTCATTTTCATTAAGGAGATAAAATATAGTTTTTTGAGAGACAAAACTCACTTTTTGAAATTATGCATATCTGATGTGCTGTAGGATACATATTGAACTGCTGACTACAATATGGGTAGTTCAAACCTACCAGCCGCTTAGCAGGAGAAAAATGAAGCTTTCTGATTCCATAAACATTTATAGCTTTAGAAACTCTATACAGGATTGCTATGAGTCTCAACAAACCTGACTCGATGACACTTAGCAACAAGAGCATGCCTGAAATACTCTACACAAT